ATATCACAACTCTTCAATTCTGGCATTAGACACGTTCCAGTCGTTAAAGTTACAGGGTGTTTTAAGACCATATTGTGCTTCAATGAGTTGTATCTGGCACACACAACAGTTACAACGCGGAAAATAAACTGGAGATCAGGAGGGGTTGACTCTTGTCTTCAGTTCCCATGGTCCGCCGTTATTACTGCTCTAATTATAACATTTACCTAAAAACTCGTGTAGGTTCAAGCTTACGGACGTGACATTTTCATTTAGAAGGGGTGCCCAGTTTCCACCGGATGTGAAAGTGCAACCTGTTTGGATTGTCGCCACCTAAAGCGTGCTGCACTTAACTTTTCTGACGACTCCTGTACGCAGGAAGGACTCCTGAAAGCGATGATTTTCGAAGAAAAAGAGTTTTTATCGGCGCCGCATATGGCGCGGTCGCATTACCTCTCAAAATACGCATACCGGTAACGTATAATGACCTTTTAAGTGAAAAGAAGGTGCTTCGGTCGTTGAATGCAGCTCCCAGGGCAGAGAGTATGAGAGTGACATTTGAAAATCAGGCTATTTTGTTCACTAGTCAAGCCCAATGACTGGCTTCCGCCCAAAAGCCGTAGTAAATCCATGCCTTTACCTGCTGACGGCAATAATTATATTGAGTGTGACTCTGTATGGACTACAAGAAAAGCAGCAAAGTCCTACCGGTACGGACAAACGGCAGAGCAGCAAACAACTTAGAAGTCTGTAAAGAACTACAAATACGAGAATAAATCTAGTGAAACTTTCAATGGCTCACAGAACGCAGTACTGATCCTTCCGTCATCGACGATGTCTATGTAACTCTTGAAGGAAATAACTCTTTGCTTCTTGTTGGACAACAAATTTAAGATCCTTTCAGATAATTCGGAGAGGAATCACCACCCAATGCAATAGAAGATATGTCTTTCTGGCTGAGGATTTGAAACCCTGTCTGCCTTAAACAAGAAAGCTCGAAAAATAGACGGGATAATTCAGACAACCAAACAATGCACGGCCTCGGGATTCAGGTTCGGTTAATCTAATTAGGAAACAGTACGGCACATGAGCGACTTCCGGGGTCCTTTTAGGAGGAACTGGTAGAGCTTGCTTATATAACCTCCCGACCGGACATGAGGACCGCAACCGTCCGTAGTACAGCTAGTTATAGTTAGATTAAAGGACAAAAGTAGCTTATGTAAA